TACATGTGAACTCCTAGCATTCACAAATAATCAAAAACCCTCAAGCTTGACAACTCAAAGGGGAGCACTTATGCCCAACAAGAGTTATAGTCACCAACAAAGTCTTATTGCAAGCCAACAACAACTTCAGTGCATGGCATATGAAGATCAAGCTATTCAGCCCTCTTACATCTGCTTCAAATATTTCCCCTTTGTAACAATGCAAACACTACAACTCGTAGAAAACTTCACACACTCTTGATCAAGATAGTGTGAAGCAAAACCAATTTATGGTACCAACAAGAGCTTCATCAAAGGAGTTCAACCACAATTCTCAAAAGCTTCACACACTCTTGATCAAGACAGTGTGAAGCAAAACCAATTTATGGTGCCAACAAGAGCTTTATCAATGAAGAACAACCATAATTCTCAAAAGCTTCACACACTCTTGATCAAGACAGTGTGAAGCAAAACCAATTTATGGTGCCAACAAGAGCTTCATCAATGGAGGGCAACCACAATTCTCAAAAGCTTCACACACTCTTGATTAAGACAGTGTGAAGCAAAACCAATTTATGGTGCCAACAAAAGCTTCATCAATGGAGGGCAACCACAATTTCAAAAGCTTCACACACTCTTGATCAAGACAGTGTGAAGCAAAACCAATTTATGGTGTCAACAAAAGCTTCATCAATGGAGGGCAACTACAATTCTCAAACCTTCGAAGCAAATTCAAGACTGTTCGAAGCAAATTCAATTTATATGGTTCATCCAAACCTTCGACTACCATAAGGTGTGGCTTGCATCACAATCTCTTGCTCAATAGTGTGGAAGCAAAATTTGTATATGTTGTCTCTCCCACATTTTCAAATTTCTAGTTTCCCAAAAAAAAAAAAAAAAAAAAAAAGGAAGTTCAACAAAGCTTCATCAATGGAGGACAACTACAAATTCTCAAAAGCTTCACACTATCTTGATCAAGATAGTGTGAAGCAAAATCAATTCATAGTACACAACAAAAGCTTCACCCATAAAAGCTTCACCAACAAGAACTTCAACTCCAAAGCTTCACCAACAAAAGCTTCATCAATGGAGGATAACTACAATTTCTCAAAAGCTTCACACTATCTTGATCAAGATAGTGTGAAGCAAATCAATTCATGGTGCCCAGCAAAGTTTCAACCTCAAAGCTTCACCTACAAAGTTTCAACACCAAAATCAATTCATGTTTGTAGCATAGTCATGTGTGAGCCTGTGCAACTGTTTATTCTCATACTTGAGCCCTCTGATCTCCTGTTTAAGACTTATCACTTCAGCCGCCAATGATTCAACTTGGCGGGTTCGAGCAAATAGGCGTTGTGCCATATTAGACACAAACCTGCACACTGAACACTGAGAGCTAGAGAATCCTTCACAACCAACTTATCAGACCGTTTGGAAAGTAGTTTGTTATCTTTGGAGTGAGAAAGTTCCTAGCCACCACCGCAGCGGTCATATCATTCTTCATCACATAGTCCCCAACAGTAAGAAGACCAGTAGGGGATAAGAAGGATGGGTGTCATATGTTGTCTTGAGAAGGCATGGCTGCTTCTTCACCAAAGTTCAAGTCAAAACGACGGTCGGATGGGTCAGACATTCTTAGAAATGATGAAAGAGAAATGAGGTGCAATAGATCTCTGAAGTAAGGGGAAAATTCCTACAAGCAATAACTCTCTGAATGTATTTCTTGCACATAATTGGTGCCCTTATAAAAGAAAGGGCAACAGGGCTGTTGGTTTAAAAATCGAAGAGGCACCACTTTCCGGATTTCAAAGAGGCATCACTTTCCACACGCAACATTATCTCCTCAGGTACCACAGATAACTTTGCCAAATATCTCAGCCAAAGTTTAGACACATAAATTTTGAAGGTCCAGCTACCCTACTATTACCCACAAGGGTAAAGGAACAACACCACTGCTTGATAACTAGAAAGTCCCAATATGTGTCAACCTCTGTGCTCCGTGGCAAGGCAGACTGGCAAAAATGCCTAACTTTTACTCACATTCGAGAAAACACTCCTAACAAGATTGCTTGCTAAAAAATCGAAGAGGCACCACTCTCCGAATCTCGAGAGCCAGACTCCCAACAGGATTACTTTCTCAAAAATCGAAAAGACACTGCTCTCTGAATCTCAAGAGTCAGACTCCCAACAAGATTGCTTTCTAAAAAATCGAAGAAGCACCGTTCTCTGAAGCTTAATAACCAAATTCCCGACAGGATTGCTTGTTCGAAAACTGAAGAGACACCGTTCTCTGAACTTTGAGAGCCAGATTTCCTTGGATGAAGCTTGTCTGCAATCTTCACACACAACATCAGTTTTCCAGATACCACAGACCACTTTTTCAAAGCGTTCTGACAAAGTTAAAACATGTGAAGCTTGCAGCTCCCACTATATTGCTATGACCAAGAAGGGTAAAGGAATAACATTATTACTTGCTCAAAAATCGAAGGCGCACCGCCCTCCGAATCTCGAAAGCTAGACTCCCAACAGGATTACTTCTCAAAAATCGAAGAGGCACCGCTCTCTGAATCTCAAGAGCCAAACTCCCAACATGATTGCTTTCTCAAAAATCGAAGAGGCACCGTTCTCCGAATCTCAAGAGCCAGATCCCCGACAGGATTGCTTGTTCGAAAACCGAAGAGGCATCCCTCTTCGAACTTCGAGAGCCAGATTTCCTTGGATAAACTTGTCTGCAATCTTCACACGCAACATTAGCTTTCCAGATACCACATACCACTTTTTCAAAGTGCTCTGACAAAGTTAAAACACGTGAAGCTTGCAGCTCCCACTACATTGCTACGACCAAGAAGGGTAAAGGAATAGCATTACTACTTGTTGTTAGGGAGACTCCTATATATGTCGACATTCATCCTCCACGGACAGGCAGACCTGCAAAAATGCTCAACCCTTCCTCATATCTGAAATGGCATTCCCAACGAAGCATCTCGAAATACTCAGTTTTCTTCCCCCCAATAATACCTATGCAAACCAGCCATACCAGAGCAAGAGTATCTCATATCATCAGGGTCAAAAGCAAGAGTATCCCATATCATACTTTTTCCCTGTCTTTTCCTTTGCCCTTGTTCTTACCTGCAAGACAAGGAGAAAGAGAGCAATCAGTCAACACTTGGAATCAAGCTTCCAGTCAGGAACTGACTGCCTAGAACCCCTTGCCTGATTACTTACCTGGCATTGCTCTCGAGTACTCATCTTCAACATCTTATGCTTCCAGAAAAGATACCACATTTGCCTGAGGAACATATAGGGCAAGTGAAAATGATACAAGGAAGCATGTGGAGACAAGCGCAACAGAACACGTGCCGATTCATCTATTACTTCGTCAACAGCAAAAGTATCCCATATCATCAAGGTCGAATGCACTCTTGATTTGATGGACTTGTTTTGACCTTCAAATTCTTGAGTCGGCCTTATATTCTAGAGGAAACCAGAAAACCCTCCAGCCCAGTTCAAGAATAAGCATGTGGAAAGTTACTTCTTCAAAAGCAAAAGTATCTCATATCATCTCTTCTCCATTTGCTTCTCCTTATCCTTGTTGCTGTTTACGACACAAGGAGAATGAGAACAATCAACCGGAAGCCGAAGTCAAACCTCTGATCCAGGTTGTTTGCTTGGAAGTTTGATTGTTTACCTTGTCTGTTACCTCTTTCGGCAAATCTCCTAGCTCGGCGACTTGGGGGACTCCTACTAGAGGGTTTTGTATCGCACTTGACCAAGCCCGAAACTACAAGTAAGCTTCAAGTGAAATTGATACATTACCTTGTGCATCTTTATCGGTTAAAGATACCACCCTTGGATAGAGGAAAAGTACTTCCAGAGAAGATGCCACATCTACGTATAAGACAGATAAGGCAAGTGAAAATGATACCACACTTCGGTACTTAGAAGTTTCGTGATTACTCAGTGGCTTGGATCTTGCAAGTCCCCAAACGAGGAACTTCCCTCACTCAGGAACTTAGGGGAGCACTGTTTGTACCATACTTGACCAATCCCGAAACTACTGAGCACCGGTCAACGTTATACCGTCAAGGACCCAGAAGAGTTTCCCTCCAACTAGGAGGCCAATCACAGCACAACACGTGTCGACATCAGAAGCCAATCATAGCGCGACACGTGTCAACATCAGAAGCCAATCACAAAACGACACATGTCAATGTCAAAATAAAACTAGAAACTCTCTTCTATAAATAGAAATCATTCTCTCACAATATTTCCTAATGTCATTTGTACTAAATCATTCACTAGTACTCACAAAAGGAGAGCTTGAACCTATGTACTTGTGTAAGCCCTTCACAATTAATGAGAACTCCTTTACTCCGTGAACGTAGCCAATCTGGGTGAACCACGTACATCTTGTGTTTGCTTCCCTGTCTCTATCCATTTACATACTTATCCACACTAGTGACTGGAGCAATCTAGCGAAGGTTACAAACTTAACACTTTTTGTTGTATCAAAGTCCTCACTGATTTTATGCATCAACAGACATAATAACATTCTTTCAATAAATGAATGAGTCACGAAAAAATCTATGTCCTGATGCATGAATATTCCTGAATGCATGGAAACTAATAGAAAAGCCTTCCATATAAAACCAAGGGTGGATAATATCAAATACTCATCCAACAAACTCACGTTTTACAATTTTTTCTTAAATTAAATCAAAATTTGTTAATTTGCTAATATGATCCCCTCCACCAAATTTCACATTGTAAATTTGTTGGCAGTCATAAATTTCACATCCAATGTATATATATATCAAAATGGTCTCTACTGATTTTTGTATATCATGCAACCTAAGAGCATTACTTTCTAATGTGGAGTAAATCTAAGAAAATTTATGAGGAGGTTCCTTGCAAGTAGTATAAATACCGGTCATTGGAGTTCGGATTAGTCAAGCAAGCAAACTGCAGAGCTCCTCCTTAAGCAAACCCTAGGGCACCTACTTGTGCCCTTGCTAGCCACCATGTCTCGAAAGAAGGTGAAGCTTGCCTACATCCAAAACCACCCAACTCGAAAACTAACATTCAAAAAAAGAAAGAAGGGTTTCATGAAAAAGATGAGTGAAATCACTACCCTTTGTGATGTTGAGGCCTGTGCTGTCGTTTACGGACAGAACGATACTCAGCCTGAGGTTTGGCCATCTCCTTCGGGAGTACAAGGCACATACGCGAAGTTCAGGACAATGCCGCCAATGGAACAGACCAAAACGCAGCTGAACATTGAGGCTTTTCTGAGGCAGCAGATCGAGAAGGCAAAGGACCAGCTGAGGAAACAGAAGAAGGAGAATCGGGAGAAAGAAATGTCAATCATGATGAGTCAGTGTTTAGCTGGGAGGTCCCTGCAAGATCTGAACATGGGGGATCTGAATGACCTAGGGTGGGTGATTGACCACAAAGTGGAGGAGATAAACAGAAAAGTGAAGAAAGTGCAGGAAGAGCTGGCTCAAAACGAGAACAATCATGTCCAAGTAGTACCAACACCACCACCACCACCAGCAGCGATTAGTGGCAGAATAATGCACATGCAACAAGCTCAGTCGGCTGCACCGATGGAGATAATGACTCCACAAGACTAGCAGCCGCAAGAGCAGATGGCGGGGCTTGGAGCAAACACTGGGGACGAATTTCTGCAGTTTGGGAGTTAGAACCACCATGCTATGTAGTCTAATCCTTTTCACCCTTGAACGTCGGCTCACTGTTCAGTTTTCTTCTGATATGAACTACACAGGGAGTTAATTTCTGTAGATTTTTTTTTTTTGTAATAACTATGTCATTTCTTTTACGCAGGTTTCTTTTGAGATCAACCCCGAGACTTTTTTGTTTTTTTTTTTTTTTTAAAGTATGTAGACTAATAGGAGGTTGTTTTTTTCCTTTAATTTCAGTAATTTTTACGTCATGGATGTAACTCCAATTTCTTCGCTACTAATAAAATAATCTGTTCATCCCTTGGATTTTTTTTTAGTTTTTAATTTTTTCAATTGGGTAATGCTAGAAACCAACTTTTAAAACTAATTTTGTAATCATATGATGTTGTTGTTGATAATCAGATTATTATTTTGGTGTTGACTAACATGTTTATTTTCTATTTGTAACACATTATATATTTTGCAAATTTATCTTGGGTTAACATTTTAAAAACTCAATAAATGCTCTTAATTAAGAAGATGATAAGAGACTAGAAATTTATTAAATGAGGATAACATGGAAAATTTGAGAAGCCAAGGGCAAAGATTCTCGTGTTCTATTAAGATAGAAGTGAAACTTGCTTATGTTATTTAGAACAGAATAGGACGACATGAGATGCGGAACAAATGAAGAACCTCATAATGAGATAAATACATTCTTATTCTTGCGAGTAACAGTTGCGCCATCAAAATAAATTAAAAACAAAAGGAAAACTCCATGCTTCTCTCAATCATTGAGTTCTAAGCAGTCAAGAGCTTACATATCAAAACTCATAGTATTTCTAATATCTTTCCCGTTACAAAGGCAGTTAATTTTTCCAAAAGCCTTCCAAAACTGTCGCTGGTCTTGGGTCCCAAGATCAGCCAATATGACGGCTGATGCTCTTACGTCGCGTGATTCTACGGAGCTGTGTGATGTTGTTTGGGTCGATAGGCCACCATCTTCGTTGGTTTTTGTTTTAAACAATGATGGTCTTCCATGTCCTCATTAGCTATAGGCGGTAGTGTAGGGGGTGACGCTTTTGCTTAGTTGAAGCGTCTCTGTATGTAACTCCTTACACTGCCTTCCTTACTTTATCTTGTCTATTGTTTGCCTCTTCGTAGGCTTTCTTGTTTCTTCTATGGCCTCTGTGCCCTGGAATGCACTTTTTTTGTTCTTCAAAAAAAAAAAAAAAAAAGTATTAGAGTAATGAAGGGGCTTAGATGTAAAAAGCCCTAATACTTTGGACCAAATTAAAACAATGAATAATATTTGGATAAATTACACTTTACCACCTCATGTTTGGGGTATATTGCAACCTCATACAATATCTTTAAAACATTTCACTTTCATACCTTAAGTACTATTTTATTTCAATATAATACATCCGTTACATTTTTCATCCATTGATCCGTTAAGAGCTGATGTGACTGTCATATTTGTGCCATGTGGTTGCCAAATTTATGCCACGTGGCAAAAAAAAATTTTATTCATTTAAAATATTATAATAATTTACCCAACTAAAAAAAAACTGAAAACCCAGAAACCCATTCCCCCTGACCACCTCTCTGACCTCCACTCTCTTCACCTCCATCCCATCCAAAAACCCATCCCACCCCACCTCCCCCTTCAACAATTGAACCATGGCCTTGGGGCTCTGGACCGTGCCCCGTGACCCCACGGAATCCACATGCAGTGTGACGAACACCGATGATCCTCTCCGATGACGCTGCTGCGATAAGCCATGGAAGAGCTCTTATTGGAGGTCACCGTTGTCCGGCGAGACCGAGCCTTCGGCAGCGGAAGAAAATGGAAGGGATGCGAGTGAAGGTGCGGCAGAAGGAGGCAGAGAAGGTCAAAAGGGATGGAGATGAAATCGCCATTGATGGAGGCTCAGGCTTTCGGGAATCGAAAAATGGTGGTGTGTGGTGGTTTTGTTGGGAGAAATGAATGAACGAATGGGTTTTTGGGGGTGGGAGGGGAGGTAGGGTGGGGGGGATTGTGGGGTTCACGATGGTGTGGGTGGGGGGTTGCAAGGGAGTTGGCCGTGGAGAGAGAAGGGAGGGAGGTTGTGGGGGAGGTAGGGGTGGGGTGAGATGGGGTGTTTGGGTTACAGGGAAGGGAAAGGGCGCGGAGAAGAAGATGGGTTTTTTTATTTTTTTTATTTAATTGGGTAAATTATTATGATATTTTAAATGAATAAAAAATTATTTTTTTTACCACGTGGCACAAATATGCCAGTCATGTCAGCTCTTAACGGATCAATAGATGGAAATGTAACGAATGTATTATATTGAAATAAAATAGTACTTGAGATATGAAAGTGAATTGTTTTGAAAATGTTGTATGAGGTTAAAATAAACCTCAAACCTAAGGTTGTGAGTAGGGATGGGCAATGGTTATGGCGGGCGGGTAACCGCGATATTTACCCATAACCATTTATGTTCATACCCGCATAACCGTTTACCCGTTGGGTAATTACATAAATGATTATACCCATAACCATAACCGTTTATAAACGGTTATCCATACCCATAACCGTATACCCATTTACCCATTTAACCATAACCATAACCATTTACCCGTTTACCCATTTTTTCGCCCGTTTATCCTTTTTTTACCCATTTATCCTTTTTTTTCGCCCGTCTACATTATTTTTTTAACAATTTGAAAATTACAAAAGAAAAATTTGTCATAATTTTTATTTTCTGACAATTAAACACCGTTATAAGTACATTTTAGCATACATTTCCCTATTTTAATCATTTAAGTTCTCGTATAATTCCAATAATTAAAATAATAGTTTACGAACAATATTTTTCTGTATAGCAACCAATCAATTTTTTTTATTCTGTATAGCAACCAATAAATTATGGAAGTTCAGGAACCTGAGAAAATTTGGTTACAGACAGCTTTCACCTCCCCACAAAAACTTTTTTCCTCAAAATGCTACCAGACAACTGAGGTTCTTTTTCTCTTCCTACCAGTGTCATCAAAGCTTGATTCACTTAGGTCCAATTCTTGATCAAGATTAATTGGTTCAATAGCTTGGTTCTCGCTTTGAGTCTCCATCTTGGAACTAGTTGAAACAGTTAGATACAAGACTTTTTGAAGATCTAAAGATCTTCAAATAATTCATACGAAAAGAGTTCCTGCTGAAACAAATACAGATAATCAATTCACAAATTATATTGTAGGTGGAAATAATGTACATATAACGAACGAGATGCAGATATCAAAATGCTTATATGTCATGTAAGAGAATGAGGACGGATGCATACAAACATCACCACCACGGAACAACGAAGAAATGTTTAAGCGGGAAAAAAAATGAAGATATAGAGTTCAGAATATAAAAGAAAAACAGGAAAGCAATTGAACAAAAGAACACTATACTGTCATAAAACCCAAGGTCAGTATACTTTTTGGGTTATACTTTGTGATAGATGCAAGTTGCAACAGATTTCACATTCCTCTTGTCATAAAACCCAAGCAAGCACAAATGGAAACACAAAAAGAGAGAGAGAACAAAAAGGATAACAGAATAGAACAAATGATTAAATTTCCAAAATCAAGAACAATGCAAATTTTTAATAAAATCAAGAACAATGCCTAATCAAGACTAGATTTCACAAATCCTAATTTAAATTTCACAAACCCTAAATCTCAAACCCTAAATTAATTCCAAAATTTACGTGATGTCCCGGATTCTGAGGTGAGGAGGTTGTCTGAGGTGAGGTCGAGGAGGGTGGTGAGGTTGTCTGAGCGAGGTCGCCGAGGTGTGGTCGAGTCGAAGTCGAGAGGCGCAGAGAGAGCGACGGAGAGAGAGGCCCAGAGAGAGAGAGCGACGGAGAGAGAGGCGTAAAGAGAGAGCGACGGAGAGAGAGAGTGACGGAGAGAGAGAGCGAAGGAAAGAGCGACAGAGAGAGAGCGACGGAGAGAAAGAGTGACGGACGGAGAGAGAGAAAGCAACGAAGAGAGAGAGAGTGATGGAGAGAGCGGCGGAGAGAGAGAGTGACGAAGTCGAGAGGCGGAGAAAGAGAGTGACGGAGTTGTAACTCTGAGGGTTTTTAATTTTTTTTTTTTAATTTTACATATATTAAATTAAATGGGTAAATGGATACCCGTTATAACCATGAATATTACCCATAACCGATGGATACCCGTTATAACCGCGGATAATACCCATAACCGTCCATTTAAATTTCATGGATAGACGGTTATACCTATAACCGTTTATTTGTTTAAACGGTTACCCATAACCATAACCATCAACTTTAAATGGACGGGTAACCGCGGTTACCCATACCCATGGGTATTTTGCCCATCCCTAGTTGTGAAATGTAATTTATCCATAATATTTTGGACAATAAGAAATAATGAAATATATATATATAATGAATAATTTTAGAAAATGAATAATTCGGGGAAGATTGTGTGTTAAATGGCGCACTGATCAAATTTGGTCCTCCGGATTCTCCTGCAAAGAGGAGCAGGGTCTCCTCTCCTGGTCAAGGCCATCCAGACCATCCAATCATCCGACGGGTCCGACGAAGATGGAGTACCGCAACAAACTTGTCCTCGCTCCCATGGTTCGCGTCGTCAGTACTTCTAAACCCTAAACCCTTTTTCCTTTTCTATTTTTTGCTTGAATTTCCGTGAAAAATTAACCTTCTAATTCCTGTTATTTACGTACAAATTTCCTCAAAATTGGTTAGGGGACTTTGCCGTTTCGATTACTAGCTGCTGAATATGGAGCTGATATAACCTACGGTGAAGAAATTATCGACCATAAACTTGTCAAATGCGACCGCAGATTCAATGGTATGATAACCTTTTTCATTTTTCTCACTTGTTTTTGTCACAAATTACTATATATATATATATGTTTCCTGAAGATTTATGGAGCAAA